GAAAATACAAATTTTCACATGACCTCAGGACACTGCATCTGGTCAGAAAGGTGAGCCAGTTGCCAAGCTCCTGAAATGCAGTCACTTGACTGCAGGATATGTATACTTGTGATATTTTACGATAGCCAGAAGTGCATTATAGCTTGTAAATCACCATTCCAAGCCATTGTAACTTCTAAAGATCATAAAACGATGAGTCATGAATCAAGGACTACTTGTATGCTTATGATTATCTATCTATCTATTAGTTTTTATTTATCTTGGCTTGCAAAGTGAAAACTGTATATTGCTAAGAATCTGTTCTGATTGGAGCAGCATTTAAGTCCTGAAAAATACACAGTAAATTACTTAAGATCACTCCTCTTGCTTAATGAGTAGCAAGGCTGTATCTTGCTATATAAAATAATACAAGAAAGAATGTTTTGAGCCTGGAAAACAATGCTATAAGTTTGGCCCTAGTTTCCCACAAATAAATGAGACAAAAAAGATTCCTTCTGTATTTTGGGGTACTTTTAAGAGGCAAAATTGGAATGTCAAGGCTTAAGGAAACTGCTTCACTATTTAAAATTTCTGAAATCCTCTTCTTAAATAGGCCCTTAGTTCATTCCTTTTGGAATTTATCCCTGTACATGCTCAACAAAACTGCAAAGGTCCCTGGACTGTGGGAAGTAGTACATACCTGTTTTAGAGGAAGAAACTGCTAGAATTAGATTATGGGGAAATGAATAGCATGTCAAACAGAATCTGGAAGGATTTCACAACAATATAACAGTAGTGGCAAAGATTTTGGGCATGCTTGAGCTAGAATTACTCAAAAACAGCATTGTATGGTTCCTTGATTGAATAGAAACTGTGCTTTAGATTCTTGCTTTTTGAATTGAATTTGGCCTGATTAAATATTAGAGAACCCAAAGGGAGAAATAGTTGCTTCAATCTGCTGATTGATCTTGATTTAATGCTGCTGTTTTGCCATCTAATTCTGAGATTTCTGTGATATTAAATACATCTAATATACAAATCTGTATTTTTCTGAAAGCAAGACAAAGCAGACTTTGAAATGGGATGGTGCTTTACATTCTTTGAGAGTGAGGATTCTCCATAAACCTCATTGAAAAGTGAGGATCTGAAAAAAATATGTCAGTGATTTCTACAGATTTTTATAGTCCTCATTTGCAGTATGGCAGAATTGATAGCAGCAGCTTCTCCCCCTCTCTAAATGTATAATTTATCATATTATCAATTTAGAAGTGAGTAGTTTACAGTTGCATTAGTCAGCATGCAAACATTGCAATGTAGAGTTGAAAATTGGCAAGAAAAAAGCACAGAAAAAAAGTTTGATTGAAGAGAGGAGAGCAAAATGACCATACTTTAAATATAACTGTGCTTTGATTTACAGACTGTGCAAAAAACAAATGCACCAGTTTATTTTCCCATTGCCACTTTTAAAAGAGGGGGGGGGGGGGGAAACCTCATACAAAACAGAGAAGTCCATAATATTGAGCCAGACTCTGTTATAAGCAATCACTGTCATTTTGTCACCTGTTCTTTCTTTTGTGCTTCTTATCTATAATAATTCCCAAATCATGCCTACCTACTTAGTCTCTCTTTTCTTTTTAAAGATGTAATAATACAATTACTTTAATGTAAATCACTGGTGAACTTAGAACTGACTTTCAAGTAAGATTGACAGTAGGTCACACTTTGCTGACTCATACATACTCAGTGCATTGGTAACATCTCCAATATGACAAACTTACTATTCCC